AACTTCCCCACAAGATAATGAGTAGATTATCTTTAACAGTATTGTTAGATGGACACCAACAATTGTACAATTCATCACAGAGAATAAAACTGACTCTAACTTGAAGGCCCTGTCTTTCGAGGATGCATGTTCTACTCTCCACCCTTACTACTCTCAAGCCCTTGCTCTAATGCCTTGAGCTGGGGGCGGAGGGTGTGGTGAGAGAATGAAGACTACAAGAGTACATGCTTTCTTCTGGAAGTGATGAAAATATTCTAAAATCAACTGTGGTGATGGCTGTATGACTCTGCGAATGTTCTAAATATTACTGAGTTGGACACTTTATGTGGATGAAATGTTTGGTCTATGAATTACATCTCAATAAAGCTGTTACCACACATGATGTTTCTAAGGCATTTTTCTTGTGAAAGACTAAAAAAATTGAGAACCAATTTTTACTATAGAAAAGCTACTAAAATCTGTGGTCAAATGTTTACAGATAAAAGAAAATATTATAAAATACTAATGAATACATGACCTAGAAGTAAAAAAATGCTTCCTATTTTAAGGGATGAAAATGAAAGTCTATCATGTTTTGTTCTTTTTTTTAATTTTTTAAGTAATCTCTACATCCAACGTGGGGCTCAAACTCACGAACCTCAGATCAAGAGTCACATACTCTTCTGACTGAGCCAGCCAGGTACCCCAAAAGTCTATCATGTTAAATACTCATTTAAAAATGGTCAGTTTAAACCAAGCATAACTCAGGTAAAACAACATGTCTACATTTTAAAAATTATAAACTGCCTTTTATTTAACTACGTTTAAACTATACCAAAACACTACTGTTTGGAACCTGTTATCTTGATAGGACTAGTCTAACGTTCTAAAAGTTGTAAAATGATTTATCTTAGAAATTTCTTAAATAATAATAAATTTCCAAGTGTGGCTATTACATATGCTACTTTTGAGATAAACAAGAATTATGGAGAGGTACCAAGTGCCCAATCCAAGCAGGTTTGGTAATTCTGATACTCCAGGAATTTATTAAAAGGCAATTTCTCCCAGAATGCAAGCTGTCATATCTAAAAACCATGCTGCTTTGACAGGCTCTTTTTTAATTATTCAACTAGCTTATGTTAAATATTCCCCATCAGTGGCATCCTTAAATTTAAAAATAAAAGTCAAAGTCTAAGTTCTCACAACACTTGCTCTCTAAGAATACTTATTCACATCTGAAATTCTTAGAACTGCATTATAAAAACTTCTTTGAAGTTGGAGGATGAATTGGTATTTTAGAGAAGAGAGTCAAAGTAAAGTTTAATTATTCTCATTCTCATCTCCAAATCGTAGTTTTGTTTAATCTATGCCTTTGGAGGAAAACATGAAGAGACGTATATAATAAATAATGTTATGGTCATATAAAAATCAGCTAAAGAAACTATTCTTCTTCCCTCTATGTTTAAATACAGATCCTAAAAAGGGAGAATATTCAAACCTGGAATAATTCCAGCTAAAGAGAGAAACAGTAAAACAAAAAGGACAAAAGACAGTTGCACTGAACAAGTTAAAAAAAAAAAAAAAAAAAGACCGCACTATGTTAAGGTGGGCAGCAAGATATAACAAGAATGTGCATAGCAGATATCAACAAAATCATGAATCCTTAAGTTGGTGATAATTCAGAATACTGTAAAACATCAAGCACAAAATGACATTCCTTAGAACATATGCGGTTAACACGCATTTTAAAAATAAATTAATGAATAGGTGTACAGATACTCAATATACCTGAAAATGTACTGAATTAAAAATGGGTGCATGTACACATAGTGACTTATGCTTTCAGAACTCTGTACTGCGGTAAATGGATGAAGAGGTGAGAAAGGAAGAAAGGGATGAAAGCAAGACAACTAACCTCATCTATCCAGTCAGTCTGACCTTACATACGTAAACTCATGTAATCTTTACAACGGTCTCATCAGAACATCCATACATTTTAAAAACAAGGAAACTTAGGCACAATAACACCAGTAACACGGTCATCATCATCAGCAAGTCACCAGTGGCACTGGGATTTCAGAGTGGTTCTGAAGTCTAGAGTTTTTATCAAATTTCTGACAGAACTAGAGGAGAGTTTAATAGTTTCTCAAATGGTCATTCTTTACAGCAGTGATTCTAAACTGGAGGTAAGAAGTTCTACTGGCATCTACAGGCCAAAGGGCAGATGTGCTGCCAAGTATCCTACAAGGTGCAATATAGTTCTTCAAAACAAATAACCATCTGGGCATCTGGGTTACTCAGGCAAGTAAGTGTCCGACTCCTGGTATCGGCGAAGATCGTGATCTCAGGGTCCTGAGATCGAGCCCCTTGTTGGGCTCCCTCCACACTGGGCATGGAGCCTGTTAAGATTCTCTCTCTCCCTCTGCTCCTCCCCCAGCCCCATCTCTAAAAAAAGAAAAACCAAAAAGGGGCGCCTGGGTGGCTCAGTCGGTTGAATGTCCAACTCCTGACTTCGGCTCAGGTCATGATCTCCGAGTCCTGGGATCAAGCCCCATGTGGGGCTTCCTGCTCAGCAGGGAGTCTGCCTGAGGATTCTCTCCCTCTCTCCCCAGTAAATCTTAAAAAAAACAAAAACGAAAACGAAAACAAAACCCCAAATAATCATCTGGCCCAAAATATCACTAGTACTATAGTTGAGAAACCATGCTTTAGAATGGTGTATTTCTGCTTGAAAATCTGTTATAATAAAAGAAGAAAATAACATTCCCCAATTTAGATGATTAAAAAAATCACCATCAACATTATTCACTAGACCTGCTTATTTCAGGCAAGGAAAATGTTACACTGCAATGTCTAAAAGAAACACAGGAACAGAAAATTACTATTACATGGGAGATTAACCAGGTATTATTACTGGGAACGCAGAAAGGGGAAAATTTTCCCAAACTCCAACAACTACGTAGTTTAAGTGAGGAAAAGTAATAAAAGAAAACAATAAAACTGCTGACTTAAATTTCCACTAGACAGTGTGAATATAAATCTCTGTAAGTTCTATCATGGGCCAATGACGATGTGGCAAACTTACACAGCAATTCAGTTTTTTGTTTCTTTTGCAGATCATTACATTTTCTGTATCTATCAATGTTTCTTTAGTCACTAATCTGACTATAAAGTTAAATAATTATTCTTCAAAATTCTATTACTACATTATTCAAGACTTTCTTGGTACCCTTAAAATGACATGAATTCATTAGTGCCCAAAAGATTTTCCAATACTTCCTTCATTTTAAAAACAAGATCTGCTCTTCGTATCACAACTCTCTTCTCCCAACTTTGCAATTTGAAATCTTAATATTTAAGAGAACTCCAAGTCTTTAATTAAAGTTCTGCCCCTCAATTTAGACAAATGACATGAGCCCCCCCTCACTCCCATCTATTCCTGACTTAAAGAAACACTGTATTTTCCTTAGAGAAGCCGACCATTTTGGCCACTTATATATAAAAAATATTTTTTGACCACACACTTATATAAAATTAAATATTAAAGCAAAACATTGTCTCATAAAAATTATAAAATACGCTTTAGATACAATTAGATATCCTTCTTCATCTAATGTGTGTCATTTCTAATTTACCCAGTATTTTCAGTACTTTACATTAAAGAAAATCCTAAGATGCTTTTCTAACCTTAATATTTTTTTTCCATTCATTAATTTATTCCACAAATGTTTACATAGTGCTGGCTACTGCCAAAGACCACGTTTTTTAACATTTCCATTTTAAAGGCCTGAATAATCTCAAGTCACTATTTATCCATGAAGAAAAGGAAACAGCAATAAAATACGGGTAGCCTAAATTTGGTTTTCAAAAATTAATAAAATGCCACTCGATTTCACACTGAGGAAAAATATACTGATCTTGTGCATGTCCACCTCAGAAAGGGCACCACCTGGTAGTTAAAAAGAGCAAACCCTGGCATCCAGTTGCCCCAGGTCAAAATATGCCCTGTCATGCCACATGCCACACACTAGGCAAGTTAGTTTACATTTTTAAGTTATTTCTTTGCTCTATAAAAAGAAAATAATCAAGCCTATACCTCAGGACTATATTAAAAACTGAATGAGATATAAATGCCAAACATGTAGCAAAATATAAAGACATACAGTACGTGCTCAGTAATTACTATCTATTATTATGGTGTTAGGACAAAACAATTACCTATGTGTTTAATTCAAACTATTATACTAGAAATAAATAATACCTACATTTTTAACAAGGATTTCTAAAGCTAACTGGGTTTATTTCACTAATTTATCATTAGGATTGATGTGTTTGAAAGTTCCCTAAGACAAAATGATCTAGTTTATTCTTCTCTACAAAATCAAGTCTTAAGACCTGCTTTTACGCCTTTAAACTTAAAAGTACAAAAAAAAAAAAAGCAGATAATGCAAAACTCCCAAAGACAAGGGTAAAAATAAAGAAAATAGATATTCGCATATAACGTCCAAAGCAAAGCATTTTGCATTTGCTTTACAGAAATAAGAATTTTAACAAAGTCTGTAAACTATAATAAAATGACTTCATCGATGTAATGAGAAAAAAGTACTTGCAAGTTTTTTTGGAGATAATCCAAAATAAAAAACCAACAAATTATGTAACATTCTTTTGAATTACTAGAAGGACACTTTTTATGAAGTGCTACTGACATATTATTACATATTCATCTTATATTTAAAAAGGACCTAAAATAAGTCTAGTAAAATCTGATTACAAAAAAATGAGAATTCAGACAAAAATTAAATTATTAAATGAATATGACCAAGTTGAACTGCAGTGCCTACCACCCCCATTCACATCTTTTTAGATCCAGACCAACACCCGCCCCAGCATTATCTACTAACAAAATGAGCGCACATATACATAAAATACTGCCCAGCAACATGCAGCAATACTAATGGCCAAAAAGGGTGATAATATTTTGATGCTTTAAAGAAACAAATTCTTAAAAAACATTTCCTCACCTATTATCAGATGGCAGAAGAGAAAGCAAAGCCAAAGCTGAAAGTTTTCTTCTTTCAGGCTGCGTAATGTTGTCCATGCGATCAACCCACATTTCAATCATATTTCCCAAAAGCTGGTCCATCTGAAAAAAGAGCAAGAGGCATCTCAAAATATATGAAATGCTATTTACTTGTGGATAAGTACTGTTAAAGTCTAAAAGCTCATAAGGCATGGTTAAAGTTCAATTCCAACAAACCACAAAATTGAAATACAAGAAACTGGGGCAAGCCTTGAGCTGGAAAGGAATAATTTGAGCAAAACCAGAAAATGACTCTAATTAATCTTGGGAGCCAATTTATTCTGAGAGCTAGAGACTGTTCAAAACCAGTATACAGCTGATGAGTGATTTTAGTAATTTCATTTAATAAATCACCAATCCAATACATTCTTCCGGGTACACTAAAAAAGTACATGCATTTTTCAAAACTGTCAACTTGTACTTAGGTTATAGTTATTTCACTGGATGATTAGATATTTAAATGTTAAGGTGTAATTTGCTGGACTGATTTGTTGCTACTTTCAGAGGAAAGAGCAGGTTACAACCTCAATGTACATAATTGAAAAAAAAATAAGTCAGTTTCTAGGACATTATATACTATATTTAAAAAAATGAACATAAGGGGTGCCTGGGTGGCTCAGTCGGTTAAGTGTCTACCTTCAGCTCAGGTCATGATCTCAGGGTCCTGAGATTGAGCCCCACATCTGGCTCCCTGCTCAGCGGGAGGTCTGCTTCTCCCTCCTCCTCTGCTTGCACACTCTCATTCACGCTCCCTCTCTCAAATAAATAAATAAAATCTTTATAAAAAAAAAAAGAAAAAGAAATCATAATACGGAAGTAGAAAGTGTGCTGGTTAATTGTACTTATCAAGTTAGCTAGGCTAAGGTGTCCAGTTTTATGGTCAAATACTAGTCAAATACTAGTCTAGATGTTGCTGTGAAAGCATTTTGTCGATATGATTAACATGTACCAAGAGTTGATTTTAAAGAAAAGAGATTACCATAGGTAATGTGGGTTGGGCTTCAATCAGGTGAATTTTGCCTTATGACCAAAAATTAAGGTTTCCCAGAAAAGAAGAAATCCTGCCTCAAGACTGTAACACAGAAATCCCGTTTGAGTTTCCAGGCTCCGCTAAAAAATTAGAACTTGCCAGTCCCCATAATAATTTGTGCCAATTCCTTAAAATCACTCCCTCCCTGCTTCCCCCCCAACCATTCTCTCGTATCTCTCATATTCTTTCTCTCTCTCTTCTTTGTGTGTGTGTCCATGTGATGTGTGTAGATGCACACACACCCAAAAGATTCTATTTTTTCCGGAGAATCTTGACTGATACACTTAGAATCTAGAAAGTAAAACACAACCAACTGTACTGATCATATAGACTGAAAGTGAATCTCAGGGTTTGCCTCATAAACACCTGTCCACTTACAGCACCTTTCAAAAAATGCATTTAATATCAAAATCTCTACCACACGGATTTTGGTAACTTAAAATCAATCTTAAGCTCCCACACTCTTCTACTTTTATGCCTCTACATATTTTCCAAGAAATAACTCAACATTTTTTAAAAGTAATAAACAAAGACAGGTGCCTGGGTAGCTCAGCTGGTTAAGCACCCCACTCTTGATTTTTGCTCAGGTCATGATCTCAGGGTCATGGGACTGAGCTCCACGACAGGACACAGGACGGGCTTCACACTCAGTGGGGAGTCCGCTTCTCTCCCTCTTCCTCTGCCCCTCCCCCTGCTCCCACATGCACTCTCTCTATATAAAATAAGTAAATAAATCTTAAAAAACATACAAATAAACAGTGAAGGGAACACTTATTAGTTCAAGACAGTTATTTATACTTGAGCTCTGCAAACTGTGTGCTGCATCCTAAGATGCCACAATGAACTCAAAGAATATTTACAATTATTCAGAGAAACACAGAAATACTGGTCAGATACTGCAAAAAATGTTCCTTGTGATGACTTCCTATCTTTACAAAGTACTACCCAGAAATCCAGGTAAAACAAAAAGTGAAGGTGGAGGAGTCCAAACTGATTCTGAAGTTAGAGAATCTGAGTCGTGCTCAATAGGCACATATATTCCATTAGTGAGTATTTGTGGATATTTAAGAATGAAATAAAGATATTCTTTCTTTAGACTTTTGTGTATCATTTTTCAATAACTACTAAGTTATTAGGACAAAAATACATATTAAACTGTCTGGACCCAACCACTTAATAGAAGGAACTATTAGATATTTTTATTTCTTTTGGCCTATGAGCACTGTGAAAATATTACAAACACACTAAGGGAACCATGAAACACTACCATTCAGTAACTTCTGATATATACCACGAGTCTTCAATACACACATAATTTGGAAACAAATGGTAGAGATGTTCTCCAGACTCACTGCAATTATTATCTAGTAAGCAAGATTTTAAAAACCATTACCCATTATAAAAGCAAATATCAAGATATCATTCAAATGTAATATATTCAACTAAAGCTACGATACTGTACCTGGTTGGAATAAAGATTCAACAGCATAGGCAGGTATCTCTATTGTCTATTTTTATTTATAACTTATTTATTTCCTTCATTATAAAAATACTTAATAACATCACAGAACAGTGAATTTGTGGGGACTTTAAACAAGCAATTAGAACACAGGGATCAGCAAGCCTTTTGTGTAAAGGGACAGTTAAGTAGATATTTAAGGCTTTGTGCACCATATGTTCTCAGATGCTCCTATTCAACTTCCAACATCAGTCATAAACAACATGCAAAAAATGGACACGAATGTGTCCCAGTACAAAATTTTGGATAACTTTCGTGTATCAGGAAACCCTATTATTTTTTCAACCAATAAGAAACATAAAAACCATTCTTTATTCACAGACTTGAAAAAACAAGCAGCAGACTGGATCTGGCCCATAGGCCATACGTAGGCTGCTGACCCTGGGGAGCACATGAACAGAGCCAGAACAAGGATAAAACAAAAAAAGGTGTGTAAGGTGCAAAATGTAAGGAGGTGCTCATTCTCAGCAACTCACCTGTCTCACCCAAACCTGGCCCTGATAAGTACATAGTTTCCAATACCACAAGAACACCTAGAAAGACCTAACTAAAACTTGGGAGACTAAGCCAAAGTTATTCAGAGGAGTTGAGCTTTAAGGTAAAATAGAACAAGATGAGGAATCAAGTTCAAGAAGGTGAGAGATTGGTAGGGAGTGTTTGTGGGACAGGGAATGAAAAGCCTATATGCAAGGCCTCTGGAGCAAGAGGAGGACAGGTGCTCTCCAGAAACTGAAAAACGTTCTGTGCAGTGAATGCCTGATCAACGAGCTCCAGAAGCGGCTAAAGGAGTCACGAACCAGATTACGGTAGGTGTTTGTAGGCAAACCTACATTAGAGAGGTTAGACTTATTCCTCGATCTAAAAGAAATCTCAGAACTGAGGAGGTTTGCAACAAGGAAGTGATAAAATCCTATGTATATAATTAGAAAACTCAACATGGTTGTTCTGAAGTAAACGTTCAGTAAAGTCTGAAAATTCTAAACAGGACAAATGGAACAAATCTTTTGTACAAAGATAAACCAGTAATATTACCCAAATTACTCATCTACATTTTTATTACATCTTTATAATTAAGTTATTTACCCTGGAAGCATATAGACATTATGAAAACAATCTTAGTGCTGAAAATATGCATTTGCTGGACCCCCTGAAATTCCACTGCAATGAAAGTAAAGAAATATAAAAAGCAAAGGAATAATCCCATAGGGTCTATAAAGAAGAGAAACTACACTGGGTAAAGATGGCAACAGTGTTTGGAGGATGGCAGGTGGACAAAAGAATGTTAAGTGACTGGGCAGAAGAGAAAAAGCCTGAAACGAAGCTGCCTGCCAGGAGAATGACAATCTAAGATAAGCAGCTTTGGTTCTCAGAACCCTGCAATCCCCAGGCCACGAAGAAGGCAGACGTGAGGCACAGAGCTCCAAAACAGGAAAACTGACTGAGAATCAATATAAGAACTAGAAGCTTGTAGATCCCTTTTCCCACTCCCACATAAAATCAGATGATTTAAATGAAAATCTAGATCCTGAATGGTGAGACACCCTCATTGGAAAAGCCCTCGCCCCTACCCTGAGTTCCACAACGGTTGTTCATACCCTGCAGGAGAAAAAGGGGAAAAAGGGCCTACAAATACTTCGATTTTCGAGTAAATTTCCCTACAACAAACTATGATTCTTCAATATCCCAAGGCTCTAAGCTCTCAATTAGGTGATCAGTCTAACAAGTTTTCATTATTCATTCAATATAAACAAGCAACTGTCAAACACTCCGAATAACAAGTGCTTCGAGGACAAACCCTTCTACCAGTGACTGCTGCAATGAGTCCAGCTCCTCTCCCAAAGACACAGAATCACTCTTAATTCAACTTGGCTTACTCTACTATCTCATACTGTTTTCAAGTGTTGAAAAGAGAATTCTTTCTCCAAGATCCCTGCTTCCTTCAAAGCTCTCTAGATTTACTGGGACTCATTTTCCTCGCCCTATTTAACTCTTGTATATATTTTTGATGTTCTTCAGAACTGTGCTCACAGTCAGAAGTAGCCAGTTGAACCAGAATACTATTTTATTCACTTTCATCTCCCTCATCTCTACACTCAAACATGATGGCTTGACATGTTTTGTCAAATTCTCTGAGGAAAAAAAAAAAAAGTCCTCTTCATAATGAAAAATGAAAAGAGAAAAGATAAGAAGTATTGTTCCATGAAAAGCCCGTGCTCTAAAGACAGGATCGGAAATAAGTCTGAACCAATGATAACAGCCCTTTCCTCAATCTTTCACACTGCCAATGGGTTCCAACAGCACCAGCAGTAGCCATGGTTCATTATTTCTCTTTAATATGAAATTAAGCCCAGTCGAGGCGGCCTATGCATGGTGCTGATGATTGTATATTATGAATATATTTATAAAAGCACTGACCCATTCACTTAAAAATTGTTGAGGGTAAATTTTATGTTTTATGTATTTTATCACACACACACACACACAAAAAAACCTGGAAAAAACGTAACATAGTAGATACCTTTTCTCTTCCCACAGCATACTGAATATATCTCTGACATAACACTCATACAATTATTGTGAAATTGCCCATTCAAGTACTCTTTTCCCTGAAGGCTACTCTAAGCTTGTCAAAACAAGTGTCCCCAGTGTATAGTGTAAAGTGCCTGTTCCAGGATGGACAGGAGGTAGCACGGTGTGGTCACTGAGACATCAGGCTCTGAAGTTAGGTTGCTGGAGTATATAAAGCAACTCCATCATTTACTAGCTGTGTGAAATTGAGCAAGTCAGTAAATCTCTATAAGCCTCAGATTTCTCATACGTGAGATGGAAATTAAGATACTATTATCTCAAAGGGTTGTTGTGAGAATTTAATACATGACATTTATATTGTTGTTAAATATACCGTTATTAAAATCACCCCACAAATTTTGAACTCAATAAACTCACTTAACTGTTTAATATTAGCCCATTGCAGTTAAATTTAATAAAGGTAATGAAAAACCTTACCTCTATCCATCTAAACAAAGGCTAGGATTTCTAATTAGATTATATTGAAATCTAATTCTAAAAAAACTATGTACATTCTTATTCTAGATTTCCTTGAAGTGGAAACAGTTTTGTTTCACAAACCAAAAGATTTTACAAACTGCCTCCATTCTAAAGACATCACTCAAGTACTTTCAACATTCCACATCTTACAAATCTTAAAAGATTAAGGACTTAATACATAAAAACTGTATTTTAATATAATGTATATAGTCTCAAGTAACATCTCACTCAAGAACCTATTCTATACTTACCCTGGTGGTTGGTTTTAGTTATAATACTTTTTCAATAAGCCTTTGCTGAAAAAGTCACTTCCCATAATAATTATGATGGAAACTCATCACATGACACTAAGAACAAGCTCAATAAAGGAATGGAACAAAGATTGTAAATAATTATATGTAAAGTATTTGTTTCAAGTGTGAGTAAACAAAAAATTGCAACCATAAACAAAACAAAATTCCATCCTACAGTTAAGCAGAATAAAGCTGGCTATTATGAAAGAGAACAAATGTAAATTTCAATTGTTATTCAGAGATTCTTTTTTCTTTCTTCTTCAAAATCATGGGTACAATGGAAGTTATTAAAGTTCTAAAATACAAAATTTTAAATACAAGAGTTTTAAATTATTTTTTCCCCAATTGTTTTCAATCCTTATTTGAAAAGACTTTCTTCAATTTAAGTAAATTGATTCTTACCTCCTGATTAAATTTATGTGCCATCTCATTAAGAAGTGAAGAAAAAAAACTAGTGTTTTGTAGCAGGACTCGACCCATAACTCCAAGGTATGTTGACATCACGACAGGATACCTCTGTACAATCAAAATACAGCACACATAAAATTATATCAAGGTATGAGTATAAACATGACTATGAACAATCATAGACATGGTAAACAGTCAACAGGGATATAAAATAATATTCTCCGGGGCGCCTGGGTGGCTCAGTTGGTTAAGCGGTTGCCTTCGGCTCAGGTCATGATCCCAGGGTCCTGGGATCAAGCCCCGCATCGGGCTCCCTGCTCATCGGAGAGCCTGCTTCTCCCTCTCCCTGCCACTCTGCCTACTTGTGCTTTCTATCTCTCTGTCAAATAAATAAATAAAATCTTTAAAAAATAAATAAATAAAAATAAAATAATATTCTCCTTCAAAATCGCTTTAGGATATACTGCCAATATTACCTGAGTTATAAGTAACTTTCTAAATATATGTCATACAAGGTAATATACATATAATGTAGATTTTAAAGACAGAGGAACACAGAAAGAATATTTACCAACGGCTTATTTATTTATTTATATTACTGTAAATACTCGTACAATACATGGTTATGTGGATTCACTTAAAGGGACTGACTTAGAAAATAACCGGTATTTTTCTAGATTCAGTATGTACTACAACCAGCACTGTTCTTTCCCATTACTCTGCTTCAAATCTTTGTGGATGAATACATGCATGTGAGAGATTATAAAAAAAAAAAAAAAGAAGAAGCTATAGTTTCTGGAGAAAGAAAATGCCAAGCTGTATAACTACCCTGAAAATTACTTAATTTACTTCAAAACAACCCTCATAATAAGAAAAGCTTTCTTTTTATATCTAACAACAAAGAAGAAATAATTTTCCAATGAAGAATGAAAATAAAAGTAGAACCCTAGAGACCATTACTATCCTTACAAGCTTAAGGAAAATCTTACCTCTCCTTCTATAATACCTCTGAAAACACAGGGTAGAATTGGTTGAAACATCTGTGGACCTAATACTGGGTTCACTTTAAGGGCATTTTCCACAACCTAAAAACCAGAAAGAATCACTGGTAACACTAAATAATCCAAGTCACTGCTTCATGTAAAACATTGGTAAAGAAAACAATGTATTAAATATCATACACTAAATTGCAGAATACATACACACAAATACATGAGGTAGTCAATATTTTGGCATTAGATACACTTTTACAAGATAATCCATTAAAAATGATTTTGATATAAAATTTGATATGAAGTGTATAATACATACAGCTATACATCTCACATAGAATTATAATTAATCACATCCTAATAACAGGTACCATGTTGTCATTATTACATTTACATTTTAAACAAATAACCCTTACAAAATGGTACACTAATAGAGTCAGCAAAAGGCATTTCAAAACTGTTGGCTTTTTTGGGGGCGCCTGGGTGACTCAGATGGTTAAGCGTCTGCCTTCAGCTCAGGTCATGATCCCGGGATCCTGGGATCAAGTTCTGCATTGGGCTCCCTGCTCCTTGGGGACCCTGCTTCTCCCTCTGCCTCTATCTCTCTCGCTCGCTTGCTCACTCTCCGTCTGTCTCTCATGAATAAATAAATAAAACCTTAAAAAAAAAAAGTGTTGGCTTTTTTGTAATAAGGAAACAGTAGGGTAGAGGCACAACAAGAGACACAAGGATCAGTGGAACGGAATAGAGAGCCCAGAAATAAACCCGCGATTCTATAGTCAATCAACCAACAAAGAAGGCAAGAATATGCAATGGGAAAAAGACAGTCTCTTCAACAAATGGTGTTTGGAAAACTCAAGGGCTACATGAAATAGAATGAAACCAGATCCCTTTCTTACACCATACACAAAAACACCCTCAAAATGGATTAAAGACCTAAATGTGATTCCCAAAACCATAAAATTCCTAGAAGACGATGTAGACAGTAATCTCTTAGACATCAGCCGCAGAAACATTTTTCGAGATATGTCCCCTTTGGGCGAGGGAAACAAAAGCAAAATTCAACTATTGGAACTACATGAAAAAAAAAAGCTTTGGCACGGCAAAGGAAACCATCAACAACAACAAAAAGACAATCCAACTAATGGAAGAAGATATTCGCAAATAATGTATCTGACAAGGGGTTAATATCTAAAATACATAAAGAACTTATACAACTGAACACAAAAATCAAAATCAAAACAGAACAACAAATAATCCTTTAAAAAATGAGCAAATGACATCAATAGATATTTTTCCAAAGAAGACATACATATATCCAACAGACACATGAAAAGATGCTCAACATCACGCATCATCAGGGAAATACAAACTGAAGTCATAATGAGATATCATCTCACACCCATGAGAATGGTTAAAATCAACAACACAAGAAACAAGTGTTGGCAAGGATGTAGAGAAAAAGGAATCCTCGTGCATTGTCAGTAGGAAAACAAGCTGGTGCAACCACTGTGGAAACCAGTATAGAGGGTCCTCGAAAGCTTAAAAATACAAGTACCATAAGATCCAGTAATCCCATTACTGGTTATTTACCCAAAGAAAATGAAAACATTAATTCGAAAAGATATGTGCACCCTTATATTTATTGCAGCATTATTTACAAAAGCCAAGATATGGAAGCAACCCAAGTGTCTACCTATAGATGAAAAGATAAAGAACATGTGGTATATACACACACACACACACACACAAATAGAATATTACTCAGCCATAAGAAAGAATGAAATCTTGCCATTTGCAACAACATAGATGGATCTAAAGGGTATAATGCCACATGACATAAGTCAGAGAAAGACAAATAACGTATGATTTCACTCATGTGTGGAATTTAAGAAACAAAACAAATAAAGAAAAAAAGAGACAAACCAAGTCACAGAGTCTTAAAAACAGAGAACTGGTGGTTACCAGAGGGGAGGTGGGAGGTAGGTGGGAGGTAGGAAGTGGTGTGACATAGGTGAAAGGGATTTTTTTTTTAAAGGTTTTATTTATTCATTTGAGACAGAGAGATACAGAGGGAGAGAGAACATGAGCACGGGAGAGGCAGAGGGAGAGGGAGAAGCAGGCTCCCTGCCGAGCTAGGAGCCAGACACGGGGCTTGATTCCAGGGCCCTGGGATCATGACCCAAGCCAAAGGAGACACTTAATCATCTGAGCCACTTGTTGTGTTGAGAACTGAGTATGTACAGAACTGCTGAATCATTATATTGTACACCCAGAACTAATAGTATACTGTGTGTTAATTATTTAAAAAAAAAAAAAAGGGATGGCTTTTAAGAGAGAAAAGGTAAGTTAGAAAAAATATACTCACTATCCAAAAATCAATCTACCTGTAAGTTTATCAATAAATTAGACAAAAAACAGCTTGTTGCATATATATTGCTTGTATATTGGGAAATAATCTTATTTCATTTATAATATAATTATATAGGTTATCACTCATGAGCTGATTGTCACAGGTGAAAACTCTGAAGTATAAGTGAGAGCGCTTCCCTTTACAATAACAATGACGGCATGAAATTCAAGCACAGTGAGATTTTTTTTGTTTATTTTTGTTTTATTTTTTAGGAAGATAGAAAGGCAGTAGTCAGGAAGCAGCAATGAGGACCAAGAAGGAATCTTCCATGCTTCCAGCCCCACTGTTAAGAGGGAAGGAATGAAAACAGACACCATATGAGAGGGTTATGAGCAAGTACTAATCTCAAGGCAGAGCCAAGTTGCCTTTAAAACTTGTAGCAATGTTTCTCCAGGGTGATTATTGACATTCTGAGTCGGACAAGGATTTCTTGTTCAGGAATACTCCATGCATCGAAGGGCTTTTAGCATCTCTGGTCTCTGTTCATTATGTGCCAAGAGCATGCTCCAAACATGCTCACCATCAAATACACCTCCGTGCATTTTGAAACATTCTCAAGGTAGGCAAATAGTACCCATGGATGACAGCATTCTCTAATTTTGAGCAAGAGGTAAAGGGAATGTCTAAAGAAAAGTTAAAAAATACAAAAACTTTTACAGTGGGCCAAGTATTATGCTATCTACTAAAAGATAAGAGGATAAAAAGTTATCACAGTTTCTGATTAAAAGCAACAGGAAATGAAATTCAGAAAATAATTAAATCTGACCTCAATAAAGCTTATTAAAAAAAACAGATTTGGAATAAAGATGGGAAAGATGTAGATAAGCTAGTAAACTGAATCGCAGAAGTTCATGTCATCACAAAGTCTCTATTTTAGGTATGAATGGAAAATAAAGCCATCTGCTGAAGGCTAGATGCATATTTAACTTCATTCCCTCCTGACACCCTACTATAATTACAGTATAGGGACTTTAAAGGGAAGGGGAATCATTAAAAGGACCAAGGGATGAGAGATGAATACTGGAAAGTATAAAGAAGAAATTCAAAAGTGACTGATCAGGTCACAGAGAGCTAAAACCTAAGGATGCAATGGACAGGGTGGAGAAGCAACTTAATTTATGGCATCTCTGTCTTCTCCCTACCTTTCATCAAAACCCACAGAAATTAGGACCTCCTCTGGAAAAGAGGGAAAGGAAAAGGCTAGAAATAAGACTGATTAAAAGTCTACTTAAGAAACAGGTTGCCAGTTATTCCCAAATCTTCGTATTTGGGCAATTGACCATCTCTCTCCACGGGAGAAGGTAGTGTATTATCTTTAAAGGGTCTAAAAGAGTTTCCAGATTAAACGGGCCCAGTAGTGCCCAGTACAATCAACTAAAATAAACCTACATCGGGGCACCTGGGTGGCTCAGTTAAGTGTCTGCCTTCGGCTCAGGTCATGATCCCAGGGTCCTGGGATCAAGCCCCACATCGGGCTCCCTGCTCAGCGGGGAGCCTGCTTCTCCCTCTCCCACTCCCCCTGCTTGTGTTCCCTCTCTCACTGTGTCTCTCTCTGTCAAATAAATAAATAAAATCTTCAAAATAAAATAAAATAAAATAAAATAAAATAAAATAAACCTACATCAAGGCACATCACTGTAAAATTTCAAGACACTAGGAACAAGAAGAAGCTACAAGCCTGGAGAGGAGAAAGAAGGCAGGAGAGTCAGCATGGCTCTGGAAGAGACTTGGACAAGTAATGTAAAATAATAAAATACCCGATGGGTCGACGTGTCTGAACATACTGAGCGAAAAAACTACTGGCAAAGAATGTAGTGCATATAAGAAAGTAACACTTAAAAAAATTATTAACGCCTAAGATTAAATGCTTGTAGAGAAAAGGAGAAGCAATCACATATTTATATCATTATGACTGTCAGAATATAAATTCACCTACATGTATATCATTCAATACAAATCAGCTGTCAGATGCATTTTCTTTATATGTAAAGATACAGTTATTACTGCATAAAAGATCCACAAATATATCAGGGCTAAAATGGAATCTTTGTATTCAAAAAGGTTAGGAACCATAGCTAGAGAAGATGAAATTACTTCTGAAAAATTATGTAGGAAAATGCTATTATTAGACTTGGAGGCAGGAGTAGTGAAACAGAATCAAAAGAAAATTCAGAGAGTAGAACTGGTAAGACCAACTGAACAGTTAACCAGAGGTGAAGAAGTTGTAATTACTCCTAGTTTATATGTTTGGCCAATGAGGTTTTGTTGTGGACGTGATGACCCTGAGATGTGATTATTTCCACACATGATACTTTACAGTCCACTTTCCAAGGAGGATATAGCAGTTTTGACTTAAAAACCACAGAGTTCAAATTATGACTACTTCCACTGAAGAAGGCTCCTCTGTAAACCTAGGATCAAAATCCTGGACATTTCGATCAGCAACCAGTGCTTTCTATTCTAAACAAAATTTCTAAAAATGCATCTAGTGACTTCAGTGTTAATAAACAACTTTATATATTTCAAGTGAAACGTATGCACACTCACATGGACAAGCAGCTCCCAGAAGCGAATAACTCTAAAGACAACTGATATAATCAAAGATACTTAAAAGTAAGGTAATTTACAGTTATTAATAGAATTTAAATCATAACTTACTCTTCTTAGGAGGGGAATCATT